TAATACGTAAAAATATAAAAGTTTCGTTCTAAAATAAGTACATGAAAAAAGTTAGATGGGTTAGCCAAGATGGTATAGACCAATTTCACCAACAACGACAAATTTTGGCCCGATTTAGTTAGGGTTAGCCTGCTTTATAGTTAGTGTTGGCTAGAGATTGTCGGCAAAGTGGCTATCGGCGAATTCTACCAGAACTAGAGACCTGCATAGGCCTAAAAATTTGGCCCGCAAAATAAAATGTTATTTTTTAAAAAATTCGAAAAAATTTTAAATTTCGGCCCGGCCTCTAACCAGAACCAATAAAAATATATTCGCAGCGTCACTATACCAAAGTATTAGTAAGCTACGAACAAAATGCATAATTTTATTATGTTTTCATAAGCAATTCATAACTATATATCAACCAATCATACAATTTATATAATTCAATTTATTATACCAGGTGTTTGATAAGTCTTTGGACAGGACCTTTTTATTGATCACTTTAATTATCACGTTTTTTTATTAGTAAAAAGGTCCTATCTAGAAACTTTTTAAGTGATCAACAAAAAGGTCCTATCTAGAAACTTTTTAAGTGATTAACAAAAAGGACTTATCAAACACCCGGTATTTTTAATAGCAATTTCGCAACATCACATAAATGATTGGATCAAATTTTAGGAATTATCATTTATTTTTTTAATCACCAAAATCGCCCATACGTTTTATGATTAACGTTAAGGTTGACCCGATTTAGAATTAGGGTTGGCCTGCTTTAAGTTAGCGTTGGCGGGAATTAGTTGTTAGGGAAATGATTGTCTGAAAAATCAGCAAAAATTAAAATTAAATTAAAATCAAAATTAAAAAAAAACTAATTTATACATCTCCAAAATAAATGGTTTGTTATAAATTTTAAAGTGTTTGTATTTTAAAATAAATAAAATATAAGTTATATACTGTAAATATATATACTATATATAATATAATTGTTTAACCAAAAATTTAATTCTAACCTAACTTGTCGAAATTGTGGAAAACGAAATTTAATATATTTTGAACAATACATACATGTGTATATATATATATTTAAAGTGTATATACTACATATTAAACAATTAATCATGATAAGAAATATTACGAAATTAAAAAAAAACTCAAACTTTTCTCACACAACAATATCCCACGCCAAGCAACAATTAGTATAAGTCTTAAAAGATGTTTTTTTCCTTAAAAAAACACCAAGTTACCAAAACATCGAATTATATAAAGCTAGTAAATAACTGTGATATAATTTTAGAACAGTATTCCAGACCTTTGGTTATTATCAAAGAAATAGTCAAACTTATGATCTTCGAGTTATATATGTATATATAGTCTCATCCAAGCTTATAAAATCTCAGACCCACTTAGCAGGGTTGGCAATGAAGTCCATGGAGCCTAATGGAGCTGTGAACGGAGCCAATGAAGCTCTGAATGGAACCAATGGATACTAGTTTTTTGATCTCCATTGGCTCCATTGCCAACCACACCACTTGGAGAACTTAGAGAGAATTGATTATACTGTATATACATACATACATACATATAGATATATATCCTGTATATAAAAAATGAAGTCTTAAAATAAACAAACAATTCTTTACATCTCAAAAAAAAAAAAAAAAAAAACATGCATTCATCGTTATTCTTGAATTTTATTAAAACAAGAACACAAGCTGTGTTAAAGATTTTATAAAAATGAGTCAAAAGTAGTGGTTAAATAAGCTAAAGAGGTTCGAACCTTTTTTTTTATTGTCTTAAAATGCACATACATATATATTCTTTTTTTTCCTTTTATTTTTTTGTATAGATAAACCCCAGCGCAAAAAAAAACAAAAAACAAAAAACTTACGAAACGAAAAATAAATTTCTTTTTAAAAAAAAATTCTCGTTATTATTGTTATATTCATATAACATTATTGTGGGAGGAATAACTAAAATATGAATTTTTTTTTTTTGAAAAAGTAAATTTGAAATGTCCCGAGTTTTAACAGCATATTTTGATATATATAACTTTTGTGATTGTTTTGTTGTATGTTTACGTTCGATCGTATCGTAAAATGTTATCGAAGTCAATAACTAGTTATCGAATGTTTTTCTAAGCTAGCTCCTTGTGAAAAATCGAAAGTACGAATATTGTTCGAAAACCCTTTTTTTTTGATATATTTATATAACGTAAAATGTTAAAAAAAAATAGCAAGGGAAAAAAGGAAGGGTTGCTTATAAATTATATGCATAGAGTTTTTTTTATAAGGAAAATTTTCCTTCTTTTTCATATTTCATATTTCTAATTGATATAAGAATAATGATCATGGGAAAAGATCATGTTGTCTTTTATTAAATTAGAATCGAACGATGTGTTTTCGGGAGTTGTCACACAAGACTCGGTATCTGTCGGTGATGATGATAATATTGGGCTATGACTCATTATCGAAGGAATTCCTGATAATTGTCTTCGAGGAGGCATGTGATTTAAAGGGGTTGGACGCATCACCGTCTGGGCGGGAGTAGACGGTGTTGTATTTGGTGGTGTTAATATTGACAAACCTTCCTCATTATCATCATCGGTAGAATTATTTGTATTGGATTTGGAGAGAATCGCGTCCTTCTCCAATTTTGCTTGTTTATTTTTAATTTGAACCCAGCGTGTTCTACATTGACGCTACAAGTGATAAGGATAAAGGACGATAAAGAACAAGTAAATATTTAATAATAATAATAATAATAATAATACTTCAATAAATAATAATTTATTTACCTGAGTCCTGCCTTCTATTAATTCAGCAATACGGATCCAACACCTTCCATAGCGTCGAACACCTTCTTTCAATATTTCATCCTCATCAGGCGACCATTTTCCTTTTCTAACACTTGGGTCAAGTGCTTCAGACCATCGTGCCTGACATTGAATACCGGTACGATGTGGAATCCTAGACGCAATTTTATTCCAAGGAATAGGTTGAGGATGCCCATCCGAATCAATAAGATCCACAAATTCACCAACCGCATCTTTTAAAGCAGCATCTTCTTCCGGCGTCCATCGTCCCTTATGGATAGTAGGATTCAATGCTCCTAACCATCTCGTGGAGCATTGCATGGGTGTTCGGTTGGGGACGTGTGCTGCGATGAGAGACCATTTATGTGGACCATAAATGCTTATAGCTGCACGTAAAAGCTCATCTTCTTCTTCTGTCCATTTAGTATATACAGGAGGTTTTTGTGGACTAGAAGGTATGCGTCCGGGGTGAGATAAATTCCGTTGATAGTCAGAATCGTAAATGGGATCACTAATAAGGCGCCGCTATTTTTATTATCAGAAATTTGTAAATGATGAATTCGTCTTTTTAGAAAAAAAAGAATAGTGAATCGAGAATTCTTGATACATACTTGATTAAAATAGTTGAAATTTTGGACTGGATCACCAAAAGAAATTAAAGGACTATATGCAGGTGTCGGTAATGGTTGCAATGGTTCCATCGATATTAAATTTGGAGTTTGATATGGACTTTCCAAAACCGAATTATACATATTTGTAACTATGTTTTGTTGACACAGTTCATTACTAGGCTAAAAAAGAAAAAAAAGTGAATACTTTTGTAAAAAAAAACAAAACTCATCCGAGGGAGACGGTAAAGTTATTATTACCGGCCAATCATTGTTTTCGTGGGTCACATGTTGTGCATGTGACTCATCTTTTTCTGAGTTTTGGTATAAGTGCTGATTTTGCAACACAAATTAAAAAAAAAAGAAAAAAAAAGAGGAAAAAAGAGAGAAGAGATAGAATATTACCATAGCACTATTTTGTCCATATTCGGATGGCTTGAATACGGAGAATGAAAGAAAGTGAAAATTAGCAAACAAATAAATAAATCTAACTTAATTAGTGATCGTAGTCGACTTGGTTTGGTGTTAGCTTATAAAATCAACTTAATCGACCAAGTCACTCGATTTTTTAGAACAATGGTTTAGTCGATTCAATCAAATGACAAGCATAATTTTATTTTATTTACTACGGGCAATCGACTTGGCATAGTCGACTAAGCTGATTTTTAGATATCAATTCAATTGAATCGATAAATTTAGATCGACTACAAACACTAATCTAATTTGATTATGAATAGACATACCTGACTGTATATTGTCTGATTATTTTGTATTATATGGTTCCGTGAATAGATCTATTAAAGTTTGAACGATGATAATAAAAATAACGAGAGGTAATTAATATAAGAAATTGAAAACGTGGAATAATAAAAGAAGTTGAAAACGTGGAATAATAAAAGAAATTGAAAACGTTGAAAAATAAAAGACATACTTCTAATGGATTCACGGTACTATCATCGAAATAACACGGAAGATGAATCATAATAGAACTTTCATTTGAGAGTTGCTGGTTATGATTTCCGACGTTAATATTATGTGGAACATGCTTCGAATCTGCTTGTTCGTTTGCTGAAACGTTTGCTGAAAACATGTGAGCAAATGGCAATGATAAAAAAACTAACGATGATTGACAAAGATAAAAAAAAAAATAAAAAAAATAGTTAATCACGGTCAATTCAATTGTTGGAAATTTCAACAAAAAAGGAAACAGTCAAGTTGATTATAAACAATGAAATAAATTATGGAATCGAAAGATAGAATTTACGCTCGAAATAACAGCAATGGATATGTGGCAAATGACTCATAGCGGAACAAAAAAAAAGGTAACGCGAAAAAGGAGAAAAAAAAAAAAACTTTACAATAGTAACGACATTTTACCTTGGGAGTTATTCGTCAAAAACCTGAGTTTTTGGAACGAAGACATGACGAGAACCAAAAAAGAATGTGAATTTATACGAAATAAATGATAGGGATATTAAGTACAAAAAAAAAAAAAAAAATTTTTTTTTTTTTTTTTTTTTACAAAGGAATGTAATAAACGCACGATGATGGCAATTATGAATCAAAACAATACAAAGGGGAATGATGGAGGGGGGCTTTAGGGATAAAATTCGTGACAAAATTTTTTTGGTTGTGATTGATCACTATCCTGCCGGTTAATTTTAAGTGTTAGTTAGATCACAAAGAAACAAGGTATCGATAGGTATCGATATGCTAATTTCCTGAATAAAATATGGCCGTAATAAAATTTTTGCGGATAGTATGTAAAAGGACGTGAATACGGAAGTTGAGGACATTAAAACCAATTCACATTCTCAAACATGAAGGCGAAAGAAAAGTAGATGAACGGGAGATATATATATTTGAAAGTGGGATTTTAAAATATATAGTATAGTGTGTAATTATAGATATATTTATATGATTCTTTTTTTTGCAAATTTTTCGATACACAGAGCTACATGCATAGTGACCGGACTCACATGCGTGCAAGCCTTTAAAAAGAATAAAATAAATGAATATAAATTATACAATATCAATAAATAGTAAAATTAGAATGATAAATGTATGTAAAGAAAACGAATGGAAAAAAAAGGGACAGAAAATTTCAGGATGCCTTACATGAGACTATCTTCGGTTAATATTAACGGGGCTAGTACAAACAGAAATTTGAAGAAGCCCACTTTCATATAAAATTAAATCGCCGAATCTGTGCTTCTGCCACGTACGTATGACATCATTACATCATCGAACAGTTCATCCAGGTATTCGCGCACAAACCTTTGGCATTGTAACGTTTGGACGTCGAATAAATAAATGTTTTTAATAATTACAAAAGACTTTATCAATTTACGTGGTACATTCTCAAGATGATCAATGAGTATAAAAATATTATGACAATAAAAGTATTGGGGTTAAATTAAAAAAAAAAAAAAATAATAATAATAATAAATAAAAAATAATATATTTATATATAAATATAAATATAAATATATATATATATATATATATATATATATATATATATATATATTATATATATTAAAAGTACAAAAATATATATGTGTACATATATATTTTTGACATTTAAATATGGTCACCGGTTCACATCGTACGTAAGGCCGAAGAGATGTCCTTTTGATCGATTGTCGTGACGCGTAAAACAAGAGAACTTTGCAAGAATCCATCTAATAAAATTCGGCATCAAAAAGACAAATCAATCTCCCCTGTTGGATTCAAGGTTCGTCTCCTCTCAAGATCCCTTAATTCTTTAATCACGTCCAAAATCTCTAAATTTGTCAACAATCCGTTTATCGAACATTCATCAATCAAACGATTGTTGTTATTATATCAAAACCGAATAACCTATGACTATTAGGATTCGTCCATCCTCTTTTATCTACATCCCGCACTCCTTATTCATCTTATCCTTACATTTTCCCTTTTT